GTACTAAACTCTAATTTTCGTTAATTTGTTGGCATATGATGTGGCAAAAACATGGTGAGGACTTTCAAAGATTGATGTCACACAAGTCTCATAAGTGCCACGTAAGGTTTCTGATCGGACACGTCAACAAGGATTGGCTCGAAAATTATTTTGAGACAAATTTGCAATACATAATAAAAGTTTGGTATTTGCAAAAATAAAAATATTGAGTTTTATTTGCAAATACACAAATGGTGAATATTTTAAGTGCAATTAAGTCATTTTATAAATATAAGTATACTACAATTTAGGTCCTGGATAAATCTGCAACTTATCAAATTTTTTATAACTACACAATAATGATAAGTGAAATGCAAAACATTGTGTGTGGATATGCACATTAAGAATACCATTGTATTTTTACAAAATTATATAATTGAAACCACGTACACTTTTAAAACTTCACAGATTTACCAAAAATACTCATAATTATATAAACTTCACATCTAACTGCTATAATTTATTTTTATTTTTTTCGCCATCACCCATTCTCATTTCATCTATCTTTTATATATATATATATATATATATAATTGTCTAACTATTAGTCTTGCCTAATAACAGTTTTACATAATTGATAAAAAAAACATTAATTGATTAAAAGAAATAAATTAACTGTAGTTGACAAGAATTGGAACCTCTCAAGTTTTTAGTTTGTTTTCCCATTCTACTTATGCAGGTAGATATGATTAAAGATTGAAATAGATTAAGTTCTCTCCCAGCAAAAGTGATGAAAATGTAAGGGAAAAAAATAATGAAAAAACTACATTAATTTGAAACTTAAAACAATTATAAGGTAAAATTGTAATAATTAAAGGTAATATGATAAGATTTAAGAGAATGATTAAAAATTTATTATATGTGAATAAATGAATATAAATTTTTAATAAATGAATAATAATAATTAATTTTTATTTTAAAATTATTAGAAATAGTATTCAATTAAATAGAATTAACGAGTTAAACAGTGAATAATTGTTTATAACACCTCATATTTTGATTTTATTGAGAAAAACATAATACATAACAAATTTTAAAAAATATAATATAAGAATTTATTAAAAAACATTAAATATTTCATAAAATGCATTATTATTTTTATTTAAAATAACACTAATCATCCATACTACTCGCTCGTCGTATTATATACCATGTTGCTTATCAATATTGTACACACACTAGTTTTTTTTTTTTTTTTGAAACGACAGAGATGAATTAAACTAAGAGAAATATACAATGTTCGAGAGGCCGAATGACCAATACAAATCAGGAGTTTCTCAAACAAGGAACTAAGCAAATAAAACCAAGATAAGCTTACTAAAAGGCAGTAAAAATACTGAAACCTTTAGCTAACCTATCTAGGCCTAAAAAAAAGAATAACTAGCCACTGAACCTGAGGACCTAACTAGAAAATCACAGGGGGGAAACATGGAGATTACATCAATAGAGAAACTAAATAAAGCATGTCATACATTTACTAAAAGAAAAGAAAAACTGGTTTATATGTTATGGTGAAGAGCTAACAACATAAAACTCCTGCCATTCAAGGAGAGTGCTTTGATGGCCTCCTTCTCTGGCAGCCAAGACATTTTGAAGATCCACAAATTTATGGATTTTCAGAGCCACCACAGGATGTATGTGGTGAGCTCTATTCTATCCACAACTTCATATTCCTTAGGTAGGCATATGTCCCTCCACCAGAGTTTGAAGCAAGGGGTTTTAGGGTGAATGTTGTTCCAGCTAAGAGGAGCCAACTTCCAAAATGTTTGGGCCCTGAAGCAATGGAAAAACATATGCTCTACAGATTCATCAGCGACCCCACAACAAGGGCAAGTTGTGTCAATATTCAGTCCTCTTTTGGCAAGATTGAGGCAGACATGGAGGGTGTTATTGAAACAATTCCAGATGAAGTGCTTTATTTTCCTCTTCACTTGCAGTTTCCAGCTCAGGGACCTGACTTTGTTGATCCAAGTGAACTGAGAACTAGTCTCTGGAATGTCAAGTTTGTTGAGCTTACAATTGATGAGTTGTGCATATGCAGAGGAGACTGAGAATAAGCCTTTACTGTCTAAGGCCCAAGTTAATCTGTCATTCCTTGCAATGCTCTGACTGGTACTACCAAGGATGACATCACTATCCAGAGAGGAAAAAATTTCTCTAATAAGCTCAATATTCCAGCTGCAGTCCTCAGTGTTCATGAGTTGGCTGACTTTGGTGAGGTTGGGTAGGCAAAGAGTATTTCTTTTGGGCTTCATATCTGGGAATGTGGGGAGCCAAGGATGCTCCCAGATGCAGGTTGTTTTGCCATCACCAATGACCATTTTGAGATGTTTGGTGAAAGTGGGGAAGTCTCTCATTCTCCAAAGCCAGGAGCTTTTTTGAGGAATTCTTGCTTCACAGAAAGTGTCTTTTGGAAAATACTTGCTTTTCAGGATTGCTCATTAGGAGGTTGGGCTTTGTGATTACTCTCCACAGTTGTTTGAAGATAAGAGCTTCATTGAAAATTTTTAGATCAGAGAAACCCAACCCACCATTTTCCAGAGGAAGAGATATTAGTTTCCAACTTTTCCAGTGCATCCCTTTTTCACAGTTGTCTCCCTTACTCCACCAAAACTCAACAATTACTCTGTTGATCTCATCACAAACTGAAATAGGCAATATAAAACATGACATAACAAACAAAGGTAATGCACTGAGGACTGGTTTAATGAGTATTTCTTTCCCAGCATGGGAGAGAAGCTTATTCTTCCAGCTCAAAATCTCGAATTTGACCATATCAGCCACACAACTGAAAGTCTGCCTTTTGGAATGGCCAATTTGCAGTGGTAGACCTAAGTATTTGCAGGACTGCTGGATTTGAATACCATTTAGAGTAGTGCAGATGGAGTGTTGGAAGTGAGTGGGGGTGGTTTTCGCTGTCAAAAAAAAGTGAACCTTCATAAATCTTCTATATTCTTTAGTACACATACTAGGTTTGATGATAAAAATATTCAAATCAATTGATAACAAATATATTAGTTCTCAATTCAGATTGGTATTTTATTAATAAAGGTTTATATAAATACTTTTTAC